GTGTGAGTGTGAGTGAGTGAGTGTGTGTGTGTGTGAGTGTGAGTGAGTGAGTGTGTGTGTGTGTGAGTGTGAGTGAGTGAGTGTGTGTGTGTGTGAGTGTGAGTGAGTGAGTGTGTGTGTGTGTGAGTGTGAGTGAGTGAGTGTGTGTGTGTGTGAGTGTGAGTGAGTGAGTGTGTGTGTGCGTGTGTAAAAAGTACCTGTAAACAAACACACGCCTGCTCTCACCCACACTTACACACATAAAGCATGTGTTATTATTATTATTAAACAGTAGAAAACACCAAACCATTAAGGCAGTACAGTTATAAAAACAAAACAAAGAAAAAAAGAAAGTACACACAAATACAAATCCCTTAAGAAAATTAACCGTGGTTTAGGCTACACTCTTAAAAATAAAGGTGCTTAAAAAGTTCTTCACAGCGATGCCATAGAAGAACCATTTTTGGTTCCACAAAGAACCATTCAGTCAAAGGTTCTTTAAAGAACCATCTCTTTCTTACCTTTTTTATAATCTGAAGAACCTTCTTTCGCCACAAAGTATCTTTTGTGAAACAGAAAGGTTCTTCAGGTGTTAAAGGTTCTTTATGGAACCATTTAGACAAAAAGGTTCTTCTATGGCATCGTGAAGCACCTTTATTTTTAAGAGTGTACTATAGTAAAAGAGTAGTGACCATGGTTTTCACCGCTTTAGGATTAACAGATCTTCGCATATTTTCCATATCTATATCAACTTTGAGTAAAGAAAAGAGAGATTTAGAGCCAGATTTTTTTTATGTATGTGAAATTAGCTAGCAGGAAACACAAATGAATTAAGTTAGCCTATATTTTCCTATATATCAGAAAGAACAGAAAGAAAAGTCACTTACAAAAAATTAGATTAGGAACATTAAAAAATGTGATCAAAATGTCTGTGTGGTAAAAACAAGTGAATGAACCTTTCTCAAAAGAGACAAAAACAGCAGCTCACTTCAATGTCTGACTAATATTATAATTACGTTCATAAGCTTTTTGTGAAATGTGCAGTAACTCATTAATCTGTTGCTTGAACTCTTTATATTTAAGGAGAGAACTATAAAAGTCAGACATCGCTTGTTATGATTTTCAAGGGTGTAGAATTGAGTAGAGACGCTCTGACATGATCCTGCCGATATCAGACACTACTAAAATGTCCCTAGCAATAATTTTGATCAAACAATTACATGTCTGTTGTCTGCCGTTACATCCCCACCAATGCCAAAATCAAACCTACACCCTTGCGATATTTACTTTTGAATGTTCTCTGAACATTCTGAAGCAAGTAACAATATTTAAAAAACATTAGATGAATGTCCAACTAAAATGTTTTAGAAAAACATTCTATTAATGATGTATGAATCATGTTTTTGTGCTAATCTTTTGAGTACATTATTAAAGACCAGATAACTTTGAATGAACATTCTATTAATGTTACTGGAAGAATGTTTGTTCATAACTTTGAGAAAACCTTATCAGAATGTTCTGAAAATGTTTCCCCATGAAACGTTGTGTTTGCTTGCAAAATCACTTAAATATGTGACCCTGGACCACGAAATCAGTCATAAGGGTCCATTTTTTGAAGTTGAGATTTATACATCATCTACAAGCTTTCCATTGATGTATGGTTTGTTAGGATCGGACAATATTTGGCTGAGATGCAACTATTTGAAAATCTGGAATTTAAAAACTTTAAAGTTGTCCAAATTAAGTTCTTAGCAATGCATATTACTAATCAAAAATTAAGTTCTGATATATTTACAGTAGGACATTTACAAAATATCTTCATGGAACATGATCTTTACTTAAAGGGGCATATGATGTTGCTAAAAAGAACATTATTTTGTGTATTTGGTGTAATGCAATGTGTTTATGTGGTTTAAGGTTCAAAAACACATTATTTTCCACATACTGTATATTATTGTTTCTCCTCTATGCCCCTCCTTTCTGAAACGCATCGATTTTTACAAAGCTCATCGGTCTGAAAAGCGAGGTGTGCTGTGATTGGCCAGCTATCCAGTGCGTTGTGATTGGCTGAATACCTCAAGCGTGTGACGGAATTGTTACGCCCCTCACCATAC